GACCTGAGTTTGAATCCCATTCACTTAGCTTTATGATCAGTGGCTGGTTAACCCCTCTCAACTTTAGTTTCCATAGTTGTAAAAATAATATACCCCACGTAGGATTATTGTGAAGGTTTAACAAGTTAATAAGTAGGACAAGGCCAGCATAGTACTTAGTATTTGGTTTTTGTTAATCAAATACAAATAATACAAATTTGCTAAATAAAATTTATTTTTGTTTTTACTAATTTAAACAAATACTATTTGTTAAACAAATGCTGAGTTGTATGATCCTGTGTTTGAGGAAATAAGGGGAGGGGGACCTCACTTCTCTGTGCTTCTTGGAAGTAAGAGCCATATGAGTAAATAATAGTAACTCCTAAAAGAGTGTCTTGCATATAGCAAGTATTTGACAGATGAATAAATGAATGAAAATCCTGGACAGAGTTACTTGTCCTGATAGTACTCAATCAAAAATAAAAACAATGTTGCCCTGTCAAAGAGGTAAAAGTTGCTTGCTGGTAAGTCTAGTGACTAGATGGCACAGGTTTACTGCCTCGAATCCAATCATTCTAGAACTACCAACTTGTTGGAAATTTTACTTTATGAAATATAAATAATTCTTCTTAGAATTAGAAAATGTGTTACATGGTGGGATTGGCTGGAACAACGATTCCAGCCAAAAGCAAAAGGACTTTTAGATGCTTTAAAAAAATGGTCCCAAATGTAAAACTTGGTGTTTCCTAATTAGGCAGTAGGGCGTCCCCTTTCCAGCCTAAATTGGATCAAGGGGGAGTACTTGATAGGTGGGATGAATTTTCCACCTTTGGAAAAATATGATTTTTTTTTTTCCTCTTTTGGAGAAACTACATTTTTTTTTATTTTTACGCTTACACTCAGTCTTGTTAGTGGATACAAAACAGTCATTTTGAGATTATTGACTTTTCCATTAAATCGGATAAATTGCGTAAGCCCTGTGCACTGAGGACGAGCAGTGATGTGTCTGGCTCGCAGGGCTGGTGTTGTGGGGTCCGTGATCTGACGGGGCGGCAGATTTGGTAGTAGCGGCTCCTCGTGAGCTCAGGGTGATATTAATGCAGTTTCTTAGACAAATTTATTTTGAACATATGTCAAAGGCTATTATTCATTGAGAAGGCAGACAATAAAGTATGCTCGTTCATAATGGCAGGAGTTTAGGCCTGACCGCTGTTTTACTTCCTGCGGTCATAAAAACATCATATTCTTATCAGTGAAGAGGTTAAATTTGTGACATGAATGGCTTGGGCCATATTCCGACAGGAACCATTAATCAGAAATAACAAGCACTATATTTGCAAAGCAAATGATAAGCAAATTGATCTATAACTATCAATTAGATGTACCAAGAAACAAGGTTTTGTGCACTCATGAGATATACCCGGATGACAAACGGGGGTCAAATAGAAGTCAGCTGGGAGAGGCTTGGTGTCCTGCTTTTTCTCAAGCAAATTTTTTCTGGTACGCAATTAAAGATGCTGAACATATGGTTTTGGGGACAAAATTTTTCTTTCCTAGTGAAGTGGGGAGAGGTGGAAGTGACTGGGACTCCTATTACACGGGGAGGAACAGCCCATGGAAGGATATGCATGCGAGGATGGAGAAGAGTGAAACGGGGAGATAGAGCTCCCTGTGCCTGGTGCCTGTCCACGTCTACGGCCAGGAAGCCTCAGAATCCTGGAGCAGTAGCCCTGGAAGGGCCCTTGGAGAATGCTGCAAACTGTGGCTTTCACACTGTGTTCTGAGGAGCCCACGAAGTCAAGGGGAAACCGAACAGTGATGTTGTAGCACCAAGTAAACAGACTGCACCAAATAGGGACACCAAAAAAAACCAAAAAAACTGGGAAGTTATTTTCTCAGATTTTTTTTTCAATTAGAAGGAAAAATGTCTTTAATCATGACATATAAATTTGATGTGTTATGGTTCAGTGTTGCTTTTAGTTTGAACTGCCTGCGTGAAGGGGGTAGGCACCCTACTCTCTAGTGCTTAGGGTGTCCAAGGCTATTTATTCAGCTCTGCCGAGTGAATAAAGCCGATTCTATTAGAGCAGCTTTACGTTTGTCAGTTTTTGTGATGTGGGTCGTAAATACAATTTCATTTGTGAAAGAGTAATATTGGTACAGTCTAGGATACAGGTTATAGAAAAAGTTTCATGTATTCATCGACTTGGCCTGTTTTGTTTTCTTTTTCATTAGGGGCAGTGACATGATCAAATTTATGTATTTGAATGATTATGCTGGAGTAGGGGTAGGATGTAGGATTGAAGGTGGGGAAAGACCCCTGGACCTCAGTTTCTCCATCTGTGAAACGGGACTGGTTTTTAGCTTTAATGTTTCATAATTCTTGATGGTGGGTGAGCCCTGAGTTCCTGTAAATGACAGGCTTTGCTTATGAAAATCAGCCGGGGCGACGATGTATTCCTGGCATTTGGAGTCACGGAGACTATTTGAAGTTAATGTGTTTACAGGAAGGGGGTTTTGTGGGGTTCCTTTCGCCTAAGGCAGGCTAGCTGTTGATGTAATCAGGAGCCCACAAAGATCGACACCCCCCCTGTCTCCTGTGACTCATGCTTCCGTGTCTTAGGCCTTGGAGAGAGTGATTCCATCTTCAAGGCCGAGGTGGAGCCAGCCTGTGCTTCCTCCTCCCCTGCAGGCCCCAGCGTGATAGTCCTGTGGCCCTGGGGAACTCTGCCAGAGGCTTCTCCTTCAACTTGGAACTTACCCAGATCTGCCCAGCCTGGCTACAGAGCACCTAGGAGTCGATTCCCAAATCTTAGTGTTGGAAGGGTCTGAGAGACCTTAGAGGTTGTTGAGCCCGCAGGGCGGTGTACCGAACCAGGCTGCACATGCAAATCACCTGGGCAAGGGGGGGGGGCCTCCATCCCCTTGTTTGTATAATTCAGTAAGTCTGCATAGGGACCCAGAAATCAGTGTTTTTATACTGTCTTAAGGTCGCTTACCATGGTATATGGCATTTGGTAACCACTGATCTAGTCTCATATCTTAATTTCATTTGGTTTAAAAATTATATATGTTTGTATTCACTCTTTTTAATACAGAGAATTATCAAGGAAAAAAATGCTAAAATCCTATTTCCCTTCATCCCAGTTGGTGTAAAAAATTAGAATTAGTACATGGTCATGTTTAGAAAATTAAAATGATATAAAAATGTGAAAAATGAAAAGCGAAAACCTCTCCTGTCGCTAGTCTACCACCCCTCCCAAAGGTAACTACTATTAACACTTTCTTGGGATTACACTCAGAAAATAATTTTCATGTCTTGTATCCTTGCCTGTCTGTAATTCTACAAAATCTGAACCAAAGGAATTATCCTCTATTTTTGCACACTATCCTGCACCTTGTCTATTTTTTTCCACTTAAAATATTTTATAGCTCACTGCACATCAGATTCTTTTTAATAACTAGTAAATAAGTTGATTTTTTAAAAATCTCAAACACTTATCATGTATTTCCCCTGTCTAACTGAAACATTGTTAGACCAACCTCTCTCCATTTCCCCCACCTCCTTGCCTCTGGTAACTACCATTCTACTGTCTGCTTCTATGTGTTAGATTTTTTTTTTAGGCTCCATGTACAAGTGAAAACACGAGGTATTTGTCTTTCTGTGCCTGGCCTTATTCACTTAACATAACATCCCCCAGGCTCATCCATATTGTCACAAATGACATAATTTCTCTCTTTTTAAAGGCTGCATAGTATTCCATTGTATATACACCCCATTTTCTTTATCCATTCATGGTTGATGGACCCTTAGGTTGAGTCCATAATTTGGCTATTGTGAATAATGTTGAAATAAACATGGAAGTACAGAAGTCTCTGACATAGCGATATCAAATCTTTTGTTTATGCGCTCAGAAGTGGGGTTACTAGGATTATTATGGTAACTCTGTTTCTAGTTTTTTGAGGAATCTCCAGATTGTTTTCCATAATAGCTGTATTAGTTAAATAAATTAATATTGGTAATGCATCTGGAGTAATGCTTGAGGTATAGTAAGCACTGTATGTTTGTTAAATGAATGAATGAACAAATGGGCGAATGAATGAATACATGATGATAGCTGCATGGTGATCTATTATATGGATATACCTTACTTTATTTTACTATCTGTGTATACCAGTGGCCCCCAACCTTTTTGGGTTCAGGTGCTCAAATAAGGTCATCAAGGCTTCATCTGTCTGTCCATCTCTGTGACAGATTCTCCACCTATGGGCAAGAGAGCCCAAGGCCCATCCTTTCCAGACTCACACCCTTTCAGGTCAGCAATCCCAGCAGAAAGGGTCATCTTTCCCAAGAGCTTGTGCATAAAAGCCCTGGGGAAGACTTTGGTTGACTTGGCTTGGGTCACTTTCCTGCCCCTGAATTGTGGTTATGGAGATTTGTAATGGCCAAGCTTAGGTCACACGCCCATGATCAGTTAAGTGTCTCAACCAAACCACATAGAATAAGTGAGTCCTTCCCAGAAAAGAGGGAATTCTGTTACCAGGAGAATGGGAGAAGAAGTACAGGACCCAAAACAGTGAATTTCTCATTTTACAGATGAGGGAACAGACCAGTAGTATGGTAGTTTAATAGTTAAGCATGGAAGCTCCGGAGTTCCACCCACTTGGATTCATTTCCTTGGTGAGGTTAACGGCTTTAGGGCCTGCATCTGTAAAATGGGCATAACTGAAGATAAAGGGCAAGAATAAAATGGACAGTAATATAGTCTCTGCGTCATAGGGTCAGTGGTCCAAGGGAGGGACTGAATGGGTTAAAAGACATAAAAGCGCCTAGCACAGGCTTGGTAGTAGGAAGCCGTTGGTAAATGAAGCCATTTACTGTAATGTCATTAATAATCAAGGAGCCTTGAAGATGACGTGTCTGGTAAGTCACTCCAGCTTCTGGCTCCTGGGGGGTTTCCTTCTAACTTGGGAGGCAGGGAGACTACGCAGCAGTGACTTTGCTTTCCTTCCTGTTGCAGAGTCAAGCAGCATGGATGCAGTCAGCCAAGTCCCCATGGAAGTCGGGCTCCCCAAGCACATCCTGGACATCTGGGTCATTGTCCTCATCATCCTGGCCACCATTGTCATCATGACCTCCTTGTTGCTGTGCCCAGCCACTGCGGTCATCATCTACCGTATGCGGACTCATCCGGTCATCAGTGGGGCTGTCTGAGAACCTTCTGGGAGGGCCAGGTGGGGGATGAGGACAGGAGTCCCTCCCCCAGCCGCATCCCTGTTCTCAGAAAAGCAGAGCAGCAGGAGGGACTTTGGAGCTTGGACCTCCGTTCTGGTTTTGATTCCGCCACCGACCAGCTGTGCGAATTTGGTTGAGAGTCCTAACTCTATGAGTTCCAGGTTCCTTATCTTTCAAATGGGGGTTGTGTTCCCTGCCCTTCCTACCTCATAGGGTTGTAAGAACCAAAGGACTTAGTCGCGCCGAAAGCCGTTTATGAGCAGTAAAGTCGCCACACACACACACACACACACACACACACACACACACACACAATGTGATGCTGAGCGCTGAGAAGCTTTGAAGAACCAAAGGACCTGGTTGCTGGTGATGGCCTCAGCGGTAGCGAGGGAGAGCCTGGCATCGCAGCAGCCTTTGCCTGTGCCCCTCAGGTCGAACCACGCAAGGACACCCTATACACCCTATCCTTATCCCTAGGGGCCAGCGGTACATTGGCTCAAAGTTATTCTCTTCAAGGTGGCCCTGCCTTGTGTTTTCTCAGTTGGGAGGGAACTGAGTATGGCAGGGGGGAGGGAGATGGGTAGAACTTCCCAGAACCTTCTCCGACCCTATGTAATCCGGAGGAGGGTTCTGCCACCTATTTCCAATGACAAGGGAGTTGGGGTGATGGGCTTCTTCCTGCACTGGAGTCTCATGTCTTTGTTAGCTTTGACACTTAAGCAATGTTGGAAAATGTAGGGTGGCTGAGTTCCTTGCCCAGCTTTTAGGACCTCCAGCCCCCACGCCCTCATGTGCCCCACCCTAGGGGAGGCTGTGTCCCTCTGTCCAGCTCCTGCAACAGTTAGCTCCGTGTATACTCCTTCACTCCCTCCCACCAGCGCTGCAGCCGATCCAAGGAACTTATTTTTATTTTTTTATTTTTTTTTGAGACAGAGTCTCACTTTGTTGCCCAGGCTAGAGTGAGTGCCGTGGCGTCAGCCTAGCTCATAGCAACCTCAGACTCCTGGGCTCAAGCGATCCTCCTGCCTCAGCCTCACGAGTAGCTGGGACTGCAGGCATGTGCCACCATGCCCGGCTAATTTTTTTCTATATATAATAGTTGGCCAATTAATTTCTTTTTTTTAAATTTATAGTAGAGACGGGGTCTCACTCTTGCTCAGGCTGGTTTCAAACTCCTGACCTCGAGCAATCCGCCCGCCTCAGCCTCCCAGAGTGGGAACTTATGTTTTAAGAGACGTTTCCAGGACTTTTGGAACCAAGTCAAGACAGTGATGGTTATTTTAGACGCTACGATTTATATTTATATAGAGATATTTCTGGACCATGCAAGCTCTTTGTTATCAAAATCAAGAGCATCTGGGGATTTATTAAATTATGTACGAAGATAGCACAGATATTGGGATATTATTGTGTGAAAATGAAGCTTTTTACCTTGATCTGATTTCATTGATGTACACAACCAATTTCCAATAAAGTGCTAGAATGAGCATGGCTGAGGTCTTTCTTTCAAAAGCACCTATTAAACTCAGGACTCAGGTAAAAGGATTTCACTGAATTTATGGGCTTTAGACACCGTTGGAATGTAGGAACAGAAAGGGGAAGAGAAGAATCAAATTAACTTCCAGGGTTCCAGTTTCAGCAAGTGGGTGAAGTTGTGCAGTTTACACAGGCAGATAATGCAGGGGGAAGAGTACATTTTCGATGTAAGATACCGAATTTAGTATTGGACGTATTGAGTCTGAGGTGCTTTGATATTCAGGGGGACGCTTTCAGGATGCAGTTGGAAAGCTGGGTCTATTCTTGGGCAGGATTTTGTGGCTGTGGTTATGGTTTGGGGGATCATCACGTATGATAGGTCTGCCATACAAGAGGGCTGGGTCAGAGCGTACAGACTGACAGGAGTGAGCTGCTAAATGCAGAGCTCGGAGGACACTAAACAGTGGAAAGGGAATAGAGGGGAGAAAGCAGGGAGATTGAGAAGGTCCTATGCAGGGAGGTGTTTCAGTAGGGCTGCCGTCATATTTTGTGGGTGAGGGAAGGAGTGGGAGGTTGGGAAGCTGAGACAGCGAGAGGAGGCAGCTCTTCCCAGAAGCAGCACGAGGGTGTCATGAGAAAGTGGCGGAGGACATTTGTCCTAGTCCATTTGGGCTGCTGTAACAAAATAGCTGAGACCGGGTAATTTAGAAACAACACAAATTGATTGCTCCTGGATCTGGAGGCAGGGAAATTCACAATCAAGGCACCAGCAGATCAGGGGTCTGTTGAGGGCCCACTCATAGATGGCAGACGGGTGTCCTCACATGGCAGAGGGGGCAGACGGGCGCCCTCTGGCCCCTTATATAAGGGCATTAATCCCCTCCACGAGATCAGAGTCCTTATGACCTACTCACCTCCAAAGGCCCCACCTCTCAATACCATCAGCAAGGCTGGGTTTCAACATACGTATTTTTTTTTGGGGGGTGACACAGACATTCAGACCAAATCAAGGGGACAGATATATATGTGATAAGATTCGGATTGCCTTGCTCAACCTCTCTTCCAGCTTTTTTTCTTTTGTGCTTTCCTGGATGTCGAAGTCTGAAAAGTGAAAAACTACATTGAAAATGAAAACCTGCATTTCCCTAAATACGCTGTTGCTAGAGATTCAGAAGTGACTTAGGCTTTGCTCTCCAGATGCATGCACGCTGGGTTTTAGTTTGGAACCCTTTGGGACCCAGCTGAGCTGCGAGAGAGAGATGACAGGATGTGAGGCATTCACAGTGCTGGTGTGAATCCCACGGCTGGTGCAGAGTCTGATACCTGGATCGCAGTTGAGGTGGGACAGTACTGCAGCCCACAGCCAAGATTGTGGCTTTCTTATTCCCTAGCGTACCAATTTTTGCAGAAGTAGCAATTCCCTAAGATGGCTGGCTGTGCAGCATTCACCTGGAAGGAATTCTAGTATCCCCTGCCTTCTCTGCTCCTGCAATCCTTTTAATGATTTTAAGTGTATAATTCCCTATATTAAAGGCTATTTAACTAACAGAGTACACCTTGATTGATCCAGATGGAAGAAAAATCTATTAATTCCTATCAATTATTGACCTAGCAATTCTACATCTAAGCCCACCATGTGATTTAGCATCGGTGGGGGAAGAACTCTGTGAATGAGGGGCCAATGGTCTTGGAGAAATAAGATGCCAAGGAACTGGTGGTCTCAAGGAGATCTCAGAGAGATTGGTGGTGATGGCATGAAAACTTTGCTCAACAGTTTCTGAAATAGTACTATAAGATAGTGAAATAATTATGTGAACATGAACATCATCTGAAGGTGTGAGACAACATATAGTGTTTTTTGAAAAGAGAATGAAAATATAAATTTCAAATCCAAATTTCTTGGCCATTTGGAAAAATAAAGAGCTGGTAATAACAGTTTAGAAAATTGCATCTATTGAAATTACTCCTTACCTTGTGCTATTTAGTTGTGTGGACTGATTTAAATAAAACAAAAAAAGTAAAAAGAATGTGTGTGCACCTATAGGTGAGAATAGTACATGAACATATTTTCCATATGCTCCTGATACATGTCAGTTCACATTTCCACATTTAACACTTACTCTCCTTACTGGAGTTAGCAGAAATACCATTTTGGAAGAAAAAGATGTTTGGTAAATCAGAACATTATTTCTTGTAATAACTAAAGAGCATTAATAACCCTTCTTCCAAACTCCTCCCTCCCCAACCCCAACTCCAGAAATAACCAACTAATTTGAGAATGACTATAAGAAATATGAGAGGCCGGGCGCGGTGGCTCACACCTACAATCCTAGCACTCTGGGAGGCTGAGGCGGCGGATGGCTCGAGGTCAGGAGTTCAAAACCAGCCTGAGCAAGAGCGAGACCCCGTCTCTACTATAAATAGAAAGAAATTAATTGGCCAAATAATATACATAGAAAAATTAGCCAGGCATGGTGGCCATGCCTGTAGTCCCAGCTACTGGGAGGCTGAGGCAGTAGATTGCTTGACCCAGGATTTGAGGTTGCTGTGAGCTAGGCTGACGCCACGGCACTCACTCTAGCCTGGCAACAAGTAGACTCCGTCTCAAAAAAAAAAAAAAGAAACAATGCAATGTTTATATAGTCAAGAAATGACCTGGTAAATATGGTACAAACAATGGAATGAAACACAGCAACTGAGCACTATCTATTACAATGGTAAGCAACAAAGTAAATATAAAATTGTACCTTCTTAGTGGTACCTTCAGAATTTTAACAATGGACCAAGGTTGGTAATCTAGTTGGAAAATGAACATGAACTGCATATTTTTCATAGCCCTTTATATAAGACTTGGAATAGGTCAACTGCACATACAAAGAAATTTGGAGGTGACAAGTAGAGATACTATTTGAATTATATGCATCAAACAAGATGGCAGAGAATAGAGAAGATTAAAGTAACTTTATGGAGGCCGTGAATTATGACGACCATTTCTTGTGTTTGATTCTTCATGATTACAATTGTCTGTGAATGCATGTATGTCAACAAAATCATGAATACATGTATTGTATTGCCACGTATGCCACTAATAAAATTATTTCTGTGTCATTTTCCATTTTTTACAGGGCAATTTCTGCTGTTATATCTTTTTTCTTCCTTTCCTGGTTCTCAAGCTTTAGTTTGCACCAGAATCACCTGGAGAGGTTTTTTTAATACAAATTCTGTCCCTATTTCACAAAGATTCTGATTCAGTGGTTATGATACAGCCAAGAATTCTGCATTATTAAGCAGCGTCCCATCCCTGAGAAACATTGCACTGAAATAGCTGGAAACTTTGTTTCCCTATGAGAGCTGTCTAGAACTTACACCTCTTTGCATTGCCAGCGGAGAAACCTGGAAAATTTTGTGATTGACGAAGCAATTGAAGCCCATGAGAAGCAGTAGGCGGGAATTGGTGGTGTGGACCTCGGCTCTGTGTGTGCCTAGACTTTACGAGAAAAGGAAAACCTTCTGAGTCTGGGTTTCCTGTCTGTGAATGTGCTGCGTATCGGAATGAATGAGAAAATCATTCCATGCTCCTAACGGTCATGAATGTGAGAGCTTTTAGGCAGTCCACCAGATGCGGTACAACCCTTTTCTTGTACGAAGTTTGAGGTCAATCCTATCACATTCCAGCGGATCTACATTTTATCTTTACAGTTCTGGTTTCAGAGACTATGGCGGTAGCATGGGGGCACTCGCTCTGTGACAGTCCGGTTGCCAGTTGTTGGCTGTTCAGTATTTCTCCTCTTTGGTCCTGGACTGCCTGCAGCAGGTTCACCCAGGAGCATCTGTTGACAAATGCAGCTTCCAGGGCCCTGCCAGAGAC